GGTTTCGCGTAGAAAAAGTAAAAAGTAAAGTGAACCTGATTATTTTGTGCCACATAGGGCATGTCTAAAGGATCCACTTGAATTAAAGGAGGAAATCTCCAACCAGGAAAGAGGAAGTCCTGCCAAATTTGGGACAATTTGAGCTTCTAAAAGAATAATGATGATAGTGAGTTTTAACACACTGAATGAAATAGTTCTTTTATACCATAGTGCTATTTGAAAGGGAGGAGGAGCTAGAAGGGAAAAACTTTGAAATGGAAAAGTATCAGTTAATAATATAGAAGGAATCATCGAAAAAAAAAAAAAGCCCACATCATTTTAGCACCATCAGAATCAGAATCTATTTAGGCAGAGATTATCAGTGGATGATAAGACCACGGACTTGTTAAGGACCAGGATGTTCACAGTCCCTCAAAGTGTCTACACAGATTACAGTTGACCGTTGACCATACAGCAGAGTGACCCCTCATGAAGTTGGAAGTCCACATACAACTTTAGACTCCCCCAGATCTGATCATGGGTAACATGAACAGTCAATTAACTTAATCAATGTATTTAATATATTAATATATATTAATGTATTTTATATGCTCTATGTGTTAAATACTGTATTCTTATAATAAAGTAAGCTAGAGACAAGAAAATGTTTTAAGAAAATCTTAAGGAAGAAAAAAGTACATTTACAGTCCCATGCTGTTGTCAGCATATAAGCGGACCCATGCAGTTCAGACCCGTGTTGTTCAAGGGGGAACTGTAGAAGTCTATGGTGTGCTGTTTTTCTGACCTTCTGTGGGTTTAAAGTATTTCAAAGTAAAAGTTAGGAGAAGTGAGATGTCTGTAGTTGAAGTCAACAGAGTTATCTACTATCAATTTTGTACGGACTTCTAACATTAGTAGTTCTGCCTTTTGGCAGTACTTTGAAAGGTGTTGCCAATATGAAGGACTGATACCATTTTTACCGTTCTGCTACATAAGAGAGACTATTATAGTTCATTTCTGGTTATTTCTCTGTCACGGTGGTTGATAAATTATCTTTATATTTATTTGACTTTTAAAGTAAAAGTGCCACTTTTAGGTGATGAAATTAAAATAGGAGTATATGATATGATTCTTGTTCTCAAGGAGTTTATACTTGAATAGTAATAATAATAACGATAAGATTTGGGCATTTAGGGCAACTAAAGCACAGCTGTTAGCTGTTAGAACAATAATCATAATAATTCTTATTTTGTAGACAAGACAACTAGGATATAGAGAGATTAAGTAACTTGCCCCAAATGAAACAGATAGGAAGGGGCAGAATTAAGATTTGAATCCAGGCCAGCTGGGACCTTAGTCCATGTCATGAAATGCTGAGGAACAATTAATTCTGGTTGGAGGGTGGAGGCATTTGAGAAAGGTTCCAGACTTTTGACATCTGACTGGGTCTTGAGAGGATACATTTTACCTAAATGATGGTGGGGAAGAGCATCACTGGCAGACAAATAGCCAACTTTGGTTAAAGAGGCATGACATGAGATCATGTGCTGGGAGTGACAGGTATTTCAGAGTGGCCAGGTCATACAAGTAGCAAGAAGTAAAACTGGAAGGCGAATGGGACCATATTGTGAAGGGCCGTCCATGTAGAAGTTTGAACTTCATTTGTAGATAGTGAGTAGCCATTGAAGGGTTTTTAACCGTGACACATTCTAAAAGTTTTGGTAGACGGGATTGAAGACTATCAGGGCTATGAGTAAGGAGTTAGTGCCTTCATCTAGGAGTTAGGATGCTGAACTAGGGTAGGGGGCGTGTTGAAAGCAAGAGATGGGGATGGGACCAGCAGAGTGTGGTTTGGGGAGTGGGATGGAAGGGAAGGGATGATGAAAACCAAGAAAAACTAGAACGTTTGATGGCCTTAGTAGGTAGTGATGCTGTTACTTCATGTTTGGGAAGAGCACGGTGACAGCAACATGGTCAGGGAAGTAGTTTTGGATATGTTGAGATGGAGTATCTGCTGAGCTTGTACATCAAGATTCTCACTTGCTCTCTTATATTCTAGTTTGTCTTGATGTTACTGAGTCCACGACAAGATGGGGTTCCTTAGCCTGTTTAGAATTTCTAGAGCATTCAAGTTCCCATTTGTTACTTGTGATTTTAGTTACTTCTTACTTCAGAATAAGTTCTGGAACAGTTAGTTTTAGCATGTTTGGTGATAAAGTATATTTTATCCTCGAGTTAGAGATTCATGAGTGGGGTAGGGGGACAGACTTGAATTCAAGTCAGGTGTGGTTGAATTGATGGCATTATGGAATTAACATTTAAACCTGATGGAACTGCTGATACATAATTTTTAAGTCCTGCAGCTCAGAGCTTTTCCAAGATGTGTCTTTTTTTTTTTTTTCCTTCCCTGTAGGGGAAAGAAAAGCATACTTTATTAATGGTTTTTAAAATTGTGTGTGTTTGTGTGTGTGTGTTTTGCCCTTGCATGTTAGTGTGTAGCATTTAACATTATGTATGTGGTAAGAGTTGGAATACAGAATATGTCTTTAAAAAAAAAGAATAACTATTTCTTAAAGTGATTCATTGATAACTCATAGTCACAAAAATGAAAGACAGCAGGAGACCCACGAGGTCTCAGCAGGGCTGTTCCTGGCAAGTGTGTGTTATTATACTCTTGGGTTTGCTTGAATTATTTGGTGTTTTCCTGTTGGAGGAGAAAGGGATTGTGCTTTGAAGAAGTCAGGGGAGGAAGTACAGAAGAGCAAAAAAAATACTTAACTTAGATCAATCTTAATTTTTCACAGCTTGGCCTTCTCTAAAGTCACATTTAGCAGAAACATTAATTAGATTTCAGTGCCTCACCGAGCTTTACAATTAAACATATTTCTGGAACCATCTGCAACATTTTATCACTAATAATATAATGAAGAATATGCTTAGTCTTTTGAAATGTGGGAATTATAGCAATATGTTTTGAGTGATCATCTTTTATTATGAAAAACCCATCACAATTTTTAGAAAGAGTTAAGTAATTAAAGAGTTTAAAAAATGTGCCTAGAAGTAAAATTCTCTAAAAATATTTTCATTTTTGGAAAATGAGGATCTTTTCCTAAAATCAGGATTTTCTTTGGGATTTTATGCTTCTTCTAAATCTAAAAACACTGTTGGTGGGCAAATGTCATCTGCCTGTGTGGGGCTGTGTTGAAGACCGTTGATAAGGAGCCATTGCTTTCATTGGAAACCTCAGTCACATGACCTGCGTAGAGGCCAGGTGGGAACAGGAGACCTTGCTATGGTGGCTCAGAGGGCAGGTCCTGAAGCCAGACTGCCTGGCTGTGAACCGCTCTTCGCACTTGAATTTACTACATAGGGGACTCTGAAAGCCAATAAGCCCCCTTGTGCCTCTGTTTCCTTATTTGTAAAATAGAGATGATTGTACGTACTTCATAGGGTTGTAACGAGCACACCGTTTTGAGCATAAAGTAGATCTTCAGAACTGTTTTCTGTGCTGTCTAGTCTTTCATTTCCTTTGTTTTTGATTCATAGACCTATTTAGACTTACAGAGTCCTCCAGAAAAGAAAATGTGGGCATTGGGAATTAACAAAATAGCGGAATCTCAGCTCACTCATAAGAAACGATCACATTGGTGTCATTTCATGAAAATGAAGTAGTTCGACGCTGCTCTGTGCCTGGCACTGTTCCGGGGACTGGGGAAATCGCCCACGTGTCTGTCTTCATGGGGCACACAGGCCTTACGGGAGAATGCAGGTTAGGTGTGCAGCAGATGTGGGCACCCTAACTCGGAAGCCTGGTAGGAGACAGTCCTACCACCTGGTCACAGACAGGTCACCGCCAACTTCCTGGCTGAGGAGGGTGTTTTCCCTGGTCTGAAAGGATGGAGTACAAATGTGCCTTCTGAGCGTTCAGGCTTTCATAGGGACAGAGGAGCTGTATATGCCCAGACCTTTTTCTAAACTTACTAATTACACAAGTCACTTTACCACCTTAAGAGTGAATAAGAGTGGATAGCAGGTCCAAATAATTAGGAAAATAAATTCCTTCTCCTAGAAGCCAAAGAAGGAAGGAAGAAGCATTTTCTGTACCACCTTCCCCGTTCCCCAGCTTTGCTCCAGTTCCAGTCTGGTGTGACATCCAAGACCCCTGCCTACATTTCCAGCCCCATCTTCTGATGCTTCCTTTTTTAGCCCTTTAGAACTACTGTAGGCCACCCATGATGCCGTACTGTCTCAGAACATTTATCCATGCTTCATGGAATATTTAGTCCCATGTTGCACGTGATAAAAATTCTAATACTCTTTCAGCAAACCACAATTCTTCATTTAGGGCTTATCTTCTTTAACATCCCTTGCTGGATTTGACTACTTCTTGCATTGTGACCTTGTGGTCACCTTTTCTGACTGTGTGTTGTCATACCTGTCACAGTACCATCAATGTCAGTGACAGTTGCCCTGAACTTTATTCGGGACAGCAACTCTTACGTACTTTGGATAAATTTTTCACAACATTTTGCTAGGTAGATATCACTTGCTCCACAAAACAAACACCCAGCTCTCCTTTAAAGAATCATCTCCGTCACTGAAAACGTTAAGATGGTAGAATTCAGGAAAATGTCAGAGAATGGAATTTTAAGTTGTTTTTTTTTGTTGTTGTTGCTGCATAAAAAATATTGCACAATATTTTAGAACTTCCTTTTGGTTTAATTTTGTAGAATACATGGGGTTTTCAGTGATTAGTTTAAAAGCATTAGAAAATTTAAACAATTCCTATCTCTTTACCTGTCCCATTGGAGCATCTCCCATATATCTTAACTTCGGCTGTGGAATACTATTGCTACAACTATAATCACTTATCTGTCTTTTTAAAGTTAGATCATGTATTTGCAATCTAAGTGCTTAACTGTTTTAGTAGGTATTTTTAAGCAGCATTTTCTTTGACCTTTTTTTGTACTTTGTAAGTATGAAGCCTCAAACAGTAACAATGAATCTCAATTTTATTTTAGCAAAAGCATCTGGAAATTGAAAGAACTACTAAGTGGTTGAAAATGCTAAAAGGATGGGAAAAATACAAGAACACCGAAAAGGTAATTAACATAATGTTACTTCTCTCTGAAACTGCACAAATTCAATGTGGATTGTCCCAATAAAAGTTTCTTTTAAATTATAGGAGTATTCGTGTTCATATTCCTTCTAAAACTTTCAGTAGAATTTAATTTAGTGGGATGCCTCAAATTAGGAGTCATTACGTTATAACAGAATATCCAGGTCAGGTCGGTTTCAGCACTTTAGAGGATGTCCCAGGTAGTCCAGAGGTAGATGGTTTCAGGAGTGATTCGCTTCAGACGCGCCATCATGTTGCCTGCGACGTAGTGTCGCTCCCTCTCTCTTCTCTGCCTTCTCCAGTGCCAGCTTTACCTTGAGGTTGGCTTCCCCCTGGGATCAGAATCCTTGCAGCAGTTCCGGGCTTTATACCCACAGGTGACACTGCTCAGGAAGAAGGCTGGCCTCAAAAGCTTTCCCTGAAGCAGGAGCGGTCTTTCCAAAATCTTTTTGCCCTGCAGAGTTGGTGCTGAGTTTTAAACCAGTTAAAAACGTAACACACACATCTATTACTGTCACTGCCACTCATCCCAAAAGTCTTTAAATATTGGGAAGCTGTGGAGTTCTTGGTGGCAGAAGTTTTTCTTAAAAGAGGAAAGGTCTCTAGTTCAATAAAGTTGGGAATACCAGAGCTAACCCAAGTGAAGCAAAGTCAAGTCCTTTACGACAGGACTCCTCAGAGTCTTTACTATTGTAACACGTGGCAGAGAGAACACACCTTCAAGACAGACCTTAAGCTGAGTGGAACTTACTCAACCATGGGAATCTTTTTGTCAGAGGGCATCTCACAGGACTAGTGCCCCTTTTCTTTTGAGCATTCCAAAATACCCTTACTTAACGTCTGTTAGACTCTTTTATTATTTTATTTTCATCAGGAGTAAGCTCGTTTTGAGGTTGTTGGTTTTATTAAGTGTGTTTGAGCATTAGGTTGGAACTCAAGATGTTTTTTTGAGAGGAATCCGTTCAAAGTAGAATGTTAGTTACAACATCTGTGCCCTTGTTCATTATCATGCTGTCTCCCAGAGTGGCCTAAAGTTGGCGCCTACTTTACTCCATGTCTGTGGGAAGATTGCTCAACTGGTAATTACAGGGTAAATGTTGATGTGCGGCACCTCCACTTTCATCTCAACATTTCTTCTAAGAGGAGATCTGTAGAATTATATGGCTTTATGTTCTCCTCGAGTATACATATATCTATGAAAGTATATAAGCCAGTATAAAAATGAGCAATTCTACCATTATTCTGACAATGACTCTGGCTAATGTAGTTCCCAGTAAGAGAGATTTTTAACAGAACAGTTTCCTTGATGTATAATTTTAAAGCACTTTCTCACAACTATAATGCTGGAATTATTTGATAATATATGGTCCAATTTGGTGAGCAACAGAATGTACCTTCTAAAAGAATTGCTGCTTTCAATTCATACCTCGTTTTAAATTGCACTGAGGAAAAAAAAAAAAAGGAGCGTGTGTTTTTCTTCTCTTCCAAGAGGAGGTGGAAGTTTTCTGTCCACAGATTCCTTACTCATATAATGGTAATACAAAGAAATTTCTAAAAGTGTCTTGAAATTAAAATATAGCTGTGATAAAGAATATTTGGATCTTTAGAATCTAAACTTTAATGAAAGACAGTTTCCATTAAGGTTGTTTGTGTTGCCTGTGTCTCACAGTTCTCACGGCCCCTGGTTTAGTAGTACTGGGTTTAAAAAATACAGTCTATTAAATGAAGTCATCTCTGTTAAGTGGAGACATTATGATTTAATTAGTCGTGATATAATTGTGTCTAAGCTATGTCATAGCAGAGTACCTATGACAGATAAAGTTTGTTCCCTTTTTTTAAGTCAAGTAATTGAAGGGACCTTATATTAGTTTGCATTTTATTTTACTGATGGGAGAATGGAGGCACCAAATTTATAAATAAATTTCTTAAGGTCACACAGATTGTTGGTCGCAGCAGGAGGTCCCATGTCCACACTCGAAGGTTCGTTTACTGTACCATCTTTCATGTTTGCTTTCCCTTTGGTGTTTGTCAATAAAAAGTCAGAAGGAAATAGAATGTGGTTATAAGAGCCAATAGGGCCTCGTGTATGGTTTAAAACTTTTTTCACATCGGGCCTTGAGGGGCTCGTGCCTATCTGGAGGCTGAGGTGGAGACGCTAATGGAACAGGGATGTGCAAAGAAAACGGAGAGGCGGTAAAGAGATCAGCAGCTCAGCACGAACTATTGTTTCCTGGTAATACACTTGGGGTGTTGCAAGTACCCCAGATGGAACCCTTCTGGGTTGGCTGCAAAGTTGGCTCGCGGGCCGGCATGTGATGTGGACTGGCACTGGACTGGCACGTTCATCACTTCTGTGAAATCGCTAACGTTAGAAAGAGTTATTGGAAATGTTAGGTCGGTCAGTGGAATTTTTTTTAGTTGATGGATGCTTAAATATATCTGTGTGACTGAAATAAATTACTTGTTTCTGTTGGCGAGGGAACAGAGATACTAAAAGCAAAAGGTAGATTTCAGGGAACCTTAATTTATTTTTTCTTGAAGATTTTATGTATCATACCCCTAAAAGAAAATTCTAACAGGATTTTAAAGGTACTGATTTTTAACTTAGAATATTAAAATGCTGTTTAAATCCAACATACAGAAATTCTGTATCATGGTTGTTAAAACTGCTGTCTGGGGGCGCTGGGTGGCAAAGTCGGTAAAGAGCCCAACTCTCGGTTTCAGGTCAGGTTGTGAAACCGAGTCCTGTGTCAGGCTTCGTGAGGCAGCATGGGGGTCTCCTGGAGAGTCTCCCTCTCCTTCTCATGCTCTCGCTCTCTCTCACATATAAATAAATAAATCTTGAAAACAAAACCAGACCATAAGAGACTCTTAATCTCAGGAAACAAACCTAGGGTTGCTGGGGTTGGAGGTGTAGGGAGAGGGGGGTGGGGTTATGGACATTGGGGAGGGTGTGTGCTATGGTGAGTGCTGTGAAGTGTGTAAACCTGGCGATTCACAGACCTGTACCCCTGGGGCAAATAATACATTCTATGTTAATTAAAAAAAAAAAGACAAAAAAACAAACAAAACAACAAAACCAGAAACTGTGGTCCTTGAAGTCAGACTAACTGAATTTCAGTTCTTCTATAGTTTGTTTGTTGTATGATTTGGCGTTACTGTTCCATATCTTCATTTTCTCATCCGTAACATGGGGATGTTAACAATAGCTTGTTCCTCTCCAGGGGTGCGATGGTACAGGCTCCCTGCTCCCCCTGCTGCTCCCACTGCCTGTGCGCCCTCGCTCTCTCTGGCAAATAAACAAAGAAAATACCAAAAAAAGAAAATGCGATAGTATGACAAGGAATAAACTGATATAGAAACATATATGCAGGCTCCTAATAAATAATCACAAGGTGTTAGCGTAACATTTATTATTAAAGTCATTTTTACTGGATTCATTATTTTCCTCACCCTCATCTCCGCATTGCCCCTTCCTGCCAAATCCCCGCGGGTCCTTCAGTATTGCTCCTCCCCGACTCTGTCACGTAGAATTCATCCCCCCTTCCTCGGATACAGTGTTTCTCATACAGCCTCAAGGGGAGAGCCGCTGTGTTGGTCCAGTAAGTAACCACCGCGTTCACTGCCCTCACCCCGACAGCTTTGTTCCTCAACTTTTTCCGGTTTCCCCCCCAGTCTCTTGTGTCCTGTGACAGAAGGGCTAACGGCTCGTGCCCATTTAGGCGGTGCAGTGCCTGCTGTTCTCTTCTTCCCACTCTGGCCCCCTCGGGGAGTCTGTCTCTGTCCCGACTTCTCCCATCAGGGTGTGACGCCCAGCTCTGTAGCAGGGAGTATTTCATAATAAAGGGCTATCGGTTCATGGCATCAGTTTATCTGCCTACACACCAGTTTCCCCCCCGCTACTGTGAGCTCCACAGAATTCCTTCATGTTCTAGCCCGAGCGCCTACCTAGAAAGTGTTGGCCACAAAGCAGGCAGTCATTACCAAGTTCCTTTTTAGAATGAATGAGTGATGTTCATTTATGAGTTGGGATAAACACCTATCACCTGCTGCTGCTGAAGTCTACTTAATTTAAAGCTGTGATCTCTTAAGAGGCTGTGGGATTTGGCAGAAGTGCCCTGAAATAGGACTAAGAGGAGAAATTCTTTGACCGAGGTGAGCCACTTCTCAGTGCCATGGTCTCCCAGCATTGAAAGAACTCGCTTTGCCTACATTACAGGCTATCATAGAAAATATGAGGTATTAGCCAGTTGAAGGATTCTCGGCAAATGTAAACTGGACACTGTTCTGGAGAAGAAGCAAATTTTATTTGTGTATGTCACACTTGTTATAATTCCTACTTGGTTTTACAAAATTTCCAAAATTTCTATGATGGTTGAAAATTATGTTTCTATAATGTCTTTCTGTCCTGTAAGAGTTGCATTTGAAAAACAGTAGGCATAATTGACATTTTTTTCATAATTTAAAATTGTTATTTTAAGGTCTCATAATTTAATCCTTGTTCTGGTATATGTGACTTTGTATGCATGTTTTTTATTTCACTGCCTCCTAAAGCTGAATTCCAGATACATCTCTTTTTATATTCCTTTTTTTTAAATTGAAGTAGAGTTGACGCACAGTGTTATATGAATTTCAGGTGTGCAGCATAATGATTTGACAACTCTGTGTTATGCTTACCTTTTAAATACAGTTTCATTATCATTATTTTAATGCTTTTCTGATCTGTGTATTTTAGTAAGTTCACTTGAGCGGATCAGTGGGTACTAGCTACCTGCAAAATGGTCTTGGAAAGATGGTCTTTGTTTTTTATAAAATGCAAAATAAATACCTTTTGCTAAAAGATGGTGATATCGTGCGTGTGCCTTGGGCGCATTACTTAACTTTTTTGTGATTCACTTTCACCATCTGTAAAATTAGGATAATAAAATATGGAATTGTTGATGTGATTAAATAAGAGAAACATCTATATATAGTTTAAAATAGTTTCCTACATATAGTAAATGCCCAGTAAAAGTTGTGCCTCATTTTTCTAGCCCTGGAGTAGCACTGGGACCATTAATTTTTTCTTTCTACCTGAAATTTCTCTCTCTTTTTTTTTTTTTAAGATTTTGTGTATTTATTCAACAGAGAACACAAAAAGTAGGGGGGGTGGCAAGTGGAGGGATAGGTGCCTTGCTGAGCAGGGAGCCCAGTGTGGGACTTGATCCCTCGGATCATGACCTGAGCTGAAGGCAGCCAGGGCCACCCAAGTGCCCCTACTATTTCTTATTAATATAATCATAATTTAATTTTTTAAAAATGTACATACTTTAAGATGAAAAATAGACATATATAGTTGGTGAATACAGAATTGGTTTAAAAGCAATAAAATAATGTCTGAAATCTTTTCAAGTAATATAGTGTGAGAAAGACATGTCAGAACTCTTGTTTTACTCACTGAAAACATCAGCCTGATGGAGATTCATGTCCATCGAAGTTAATCTGCTCACCGTCATCATATTCTACTTGGTTATTAAACTATAACTTTTCAATTTTGTAGTAGTTTCCACACCTTCTGATACTCATATTGGATGCTTGAAGTAGAGCATCTTCACTTTAGAAGTTCAGGAGATAAATTGAAAATACTTCTAGTATAATGGTAAATGTTACGACTTCGGAATGAATGTAGATGACAGACTTTCTTTAGGAACATAAATCTTAAATTCATTTTTTTTTTTTACATGACACTCAGTTTGCAATTAAAGGTGGTAGCTGTTTTCCTATGTGGGAAATGTTGCACAGAGCAGAGTCTGGTTTACACAGGACTTTTCTGTATATATTCTTCCAGTCAGAGCTACTGCATGAGTTTAAAAAACTTCCAGGATTCTAATCAGTATCTACTGAAATTTCAAATTTGAGTCATAGTGTGTTTATACCAAAAGAACAAAGCCAGAACTCGATATGGAATTACCTAATTCAAGGTCATTCATATGGAATTACCTAATTCAAGAGTTGTTCTACATTGTTACTCATTCTAAATCACAGCATCAGTTTATAAAACTACACCATGACTTAGGTTCTGAAGCTTTAAATTAAAAAAATTTTTTAAAGTGAGGTAGTATAGAGTAGTAGTAGTTGAAACTCTGCTTCTTAACTCATAACTTGTCAGCATTTCAATTACTAGAACTTACATCCTGTTTTCTTAGCCATTCTATTCAAATATATTATTTTGATCATGAAGGTAATTATGTACCTATTCTTACCTCAGTCCCCAAGGTTTCTGCCATGATTTGTTTAGTCATTTCTTTGTTTAGACATGTTCTTTTAAATTTCAAAGTTTTATTGTGCACAACTTTGTAATAACCATATAGATTTGTATGTTATTTGAATATATAGCTTTGAGGAGAAAGGATACAATTATAGGAAGATGGAGAAGCAGATGGAGTCTTAGGATTCATAGAGTGACAGCGGATCCGAAGAGTTGACAAAACTGATGATTTATTCCTTATCTCATTCAAAAGCGATGGCAGGTTATTCCTGGAGAACTGCCAAAATCAAAAAGAGGAGAGGGAGATGGGAGTATGGGGTAGAGGTGTGGAGGGGAGAGGAGGGACAGGGAGTTGGGGAGTGGGGAGAGAACTAAAGATTGTGGGGGGACCTTAGCCGAGTTGTGAGCTAAACAGGGTATGTTATGTTGATAGGCTCTGGAAAGCCCCAGAGAGAAGATGCCGCAGGAAAGGATATTAGGGCTACACTATTCTCTACACTCCCATGAAAACACTTTGGGGACAAGGAAATCTTTTTGCTATTTGAAGCCTTTTAGATGTGTGGGGGAAAAGGAAGAAAATCTGTAACTAGTTAATTATATCAAGAGGGAGTGTGTAAGTCAGATGTTCACACCTTAAAAAAGAGCACTGATCATGCTGTCATGCTGTGTGAGGAGCACCTTTGTAACCGTATGAAAATACTCATGTACTAGGTGTCCTTAATGTTTTCCTTGTTGTGTACTCTGCCGGCCTCTGTGTGTGCCTCCCACCCATCGAGATGATGGGATCTAAGTGTCCCCTGTCAAAATGTATCAGTTATCATGGATGCTTTGAAAAGAAAGCACTAACAGGTATTAATTAGTTGATTTGAGGGCTCAGTCTAAGATTCTTGTCATTTATAACCTTCAATTTATTTATTTCAATAAGTTTCATAGGAGAATTTACAAAGGAATCCCACTCCAGCTCAGAGGTGAAGTCTGGGCTCTGCTTCTGGAGATCCCTAAAATGAAAGAAGAAACAAGAGACCTCTATAGTGTGAGTATTTAAAGCTAACTTGTTATTTTGAAATTGAAAAGTAAAACCCATTTCTTTTCACTTTCAAGGTGATGTAAGATATTTGTATCATTTGAAGTTATAGTAAAATGATACTACATTGAGTTGTAGAAGCCTATTATTTTCTTGATTGTTTGGTTTAGTGCCATGTACTTCCTGACTTGTGAACAAATACTTCAGGGAAAATGCTACTTTCTGTATCAGTCAGTAAGTGTCCAGTGCTTTTCAAATACTTGAAATGACCAGTGTTGGGACATATTCATGAGGAAAATGGACTAACTCCTGATCGTAGCTGCGTGTGTGCCATGTAGTGTTTTGTTTTAAGATTTTATTTATTTATTTGACAGAGGGATCACAAGTAGGCAGCGGGGTAGTGGGGAAGCAAGCTCCCTGCCAAGCAGAGAGCCCGATGTGGGGCTCGATCCCAGGACGCTGGGATCATGACCTGAGCCAAAGGCAGACGCGTAACCTACTGAGCCACCCAGGTGCCCCCCATGTAGTGTTAATAAAGACATCTACAGTGTTGCTTCTAGACTTTGTGGGAAAACAGCGTGGGATTCAGTTTATCCAACAGCTGCCTATATGTGGTTGACTGTTTGCTTCTGGGTGTGAGAAAAGAATTTTTCTCCAAGACCAGTAGGTATCTCTAGGTATTGTTGTTTGTTAATCAAAGGTCAAACTTTTAACTCAATGATCAGTAATGCTTTCCTTAAATTAGGTAATACATTATCTTTACCTCCTTGTCATCTCAGGTATTCTCCTTTCTAAATCTGAAGTTTATAGTAACCTTTGAAAGGAATGATTATCTGAAAATCTTTTTGAAATGTGTCCCTCAGAAAGTGAATATAAATAGAATAAAATGGATGAAAGAAAAATTGCTTATAATTTAAACTCAAAACTAATTATAAAAGGAACTTTGGAATACTCTTGATATTTTCTTTCCTTTTTCATGTAATGTGTTTGTGCGTGTAATATTTAATCAAGATGAAAGATAATAAATACTGGCTAATTTAAAGAGTTACTTATTTTGTGTGTCTAAAAGGTTTTTTAAATTAGCTGTTTGGGCCCTACACAGACAGGCACAGTTTATGTCTTAGAGATTTAGAGTTTCAAGTTATTTTAGTTATTTTAGTCTGCTGATTAGGTACTTGCTTTTAGTATCATAGTCTTAAAGACAATATTGAAAATGGTGTCTGAGAGAACATATAAAATCTAACCCCAGGGTGCCTGGGTGGCTCAGTTGTTAAACGTCTGCCTTGGGCTCAGGTCATGATCCCAGAGTTCTGGGATCGAGCCCTGCATCCAGCTCCCTGCTCAGCAGAAGCCTGCTTCTCTCTCTCCCTCTCCCCCTGCTTGTGTTCCCTCTCTCGCTGTGTCTCTCTCTGTCAAATAAATAAATAAAGTGTCTTAAAAAAAAAATCTAACCCTAACACCTAGCACAGTGTGTCGTAAATGGTAGGTGCTCATTAAATTCTTGTTTAATTAATGAGAGAAGACAGTTACTCTTCTTTCGCATGCTGTCTTTGTTTCCTTGGGCTCCGTAAAGTGCCACAAACTGAGTGGCTCCCAACAGCAGCACCGTCTTCTCTCACACGTCTGGAGGCTGGAGGTCAGACACCAGGGTTTCAGCAGGTCCCTAGATGGTCTCAAGGCTGGGGGAGAATCCTTCCTCACCTCTTCCTAAATTCTGGCATTGCTGGCACCACTCCTGGGCTCTCAGCTGCCTCAGTCTGCTCTCTGCCTGCCTCCTCACATGGCCTTCTCCGTGTATGTGTCTGTATGTCTGTGGTGTCTGACCTGATACGGACGCCAGTTCTCGGACGTGGGGCCACCCTCGTCCAGCATATGTCATCTTCACTCAGACATCTGCAGAGACCCTGTTTCCAAATCGGGTCCATTCACAGGTTCTGGGTAGACATGAGTTTGGGGAAGGGGCACTGTTCGATCCAGCACACATTCTATAGCAGAATTCTGCTTTCAGCGATCTTTTAGACCTTTTCTACATGGAATAAAAGGATCCCAGCACTGGTTGACATGAGGGATCTATTTAGTGAATGCTGGACATACAGTAACAATAGCAAAAGAAAGGACTTGCCTTCCAGTACTTTTTTAAGGGTTATTTTTTCTAACACTTTCATAAAAAATTTTTTAAATTTATATTTGAGTTTTCCTGGCACCCTTATTTGGTGATCTTCCTTTCCCACTCTTTCTTACTCTGTCTCTCCAAAGATGGTCAGAGTTGCTCTCTTCAGGTGGGAGCTTGAGGAGGAAGAGAACTACTAAGATTTTTCTCAGGTGGGTGAGACTGTCGCTGGTCCTGAGCTGGCACTCTCATCCGCCACTTCCTCCTGTTCTTTCAGGTGTCCCTCAGTGTCACTTGTGTGTGTCGTGGTAGAGCTCACAGGTGGCAGTTCTGTCCGTTGTGGTTAACAGCCTCACCTATGGCCTTCCTGGGGCTTCATAATCTTTTTGGTCAAAGGAACCACAATACTGCGGAGCTTTCATGTGAATGGTTTCCACTCTCCTTCCACTTCAGGTTTATAGATTCCCTAGATCCTATTTCTTTTTAAATAAAATGTATATTCTTGTATTATTATGACACTCATGGGTCTCAGCCCACCCAATCTCAGAGATAACTAGAAGCTGTTTTACCTCCTTGCACTAAGATAAGAAATATGCTCGATTTCCTGTATTCTGTACATTCATTGGTAAATATTCTAGGACATAATCTTTCTGACCTACTATTTTTTATCTGCTAACTGAAATTTGCTTCTGTCTTGAGGCCTTTTTATATTGGATTTTCTTGTCCTCTAGAGAAACTGATACTGTAGGTGTGTTTCTGCCTCTGAACTAAATTTTTGTAAAGAACATTTTATCATGTCCTGTCAGACATTTTCTATGTTTTGACATCTCATTTATTAACAGGAGGCCTGTAGAACAATAACTGAAACCTCTTTACTTGCCCATTACCTTTAAAAAATAAAAATAAAAAAGAACAAATATGAACAGATTACCATTTTTAAACTAAATTTTGGTAATATCTTCTGGATCGACTTGTATCAGCGATAGTGTACAGTAATATTTTAGTGGTCGTGTGATTCTTGTATAATATTATAAATATCTTCCTGTGTATTTAGCACTCTGAATTATACTGTGATTACTCTTCATGGTTTTAAAAGCTACAGAAGCTGCCCTTGTCTGAGCTCCCACCTCAAGACACAGAAAGTACACATAGTTACAAAACCCTTGACACAGACACCCATATTCCAGATAGCCTGCTGCTTCCTGCTTTCAGCTAAAGTCAGGAATTAGCCAGTTACGTTTTCATATGTATTTATTGGAGTTGATTCAGGCAGAGATCTGTATCACCAGCACATGGTAACACGAGTCAGTATAATATATGTATATGGATGCGTAATTATACATTAGCGTGGTTAAATATAGATTAGTATACATTTTAATCTCTTTTATCTAGTTCAGCTTGGGAGATTAAATATCCTCATTCAGCTCCCGTCCCCTGAAATGCCACGAAACTGACAGCAGGGAGTTTCTGTAAAGGCAAAGCCCATGAGGAGTAAGAAACAGGAGAGAGAATGGCTGCCAGTATCTGGAAACCAGACAGACACTTACTGTACTCAGCAAACCCAAGAAAATGGAAGCTCCGGCTGCCTGATTTCGATCTCAGAATCTCCAGGAGCCTTGGTAATTGTCAACTGCAGGTGCCTCAGGGAGCGGAGGTGAAGCTCAGAACCGTGGAAGTGGCCCAGAGTCCGTCGCAGGAGGAGTTAGAGCCTTGACGTCACCCCCGCACCGGTGCAAGTCCGAGGTTTACCACTTGGAGAGAATGAACGAGAGGGCCTCTGGGCTGGAGAGGACCCAGATGTTCCTCAGGGGGAGGGCGCAGAGGAACTGCGTATCCTGAGCTGCGGGCGTGCTGGCCTCCTTCCCAGCACATTGGTGGCCAGGTGCTTGTCTTCCTGACCAGAGACCAGAAGATACTTCTCTGAGGAATCTGCCCAGCCGCGGGACATAAACCCAGAGACACTGACTCCGGGGGAACCCCAGCGACACCGCCCGGTCGGATCACTCTGAGGTGGAGACACAGTTGTGAAGCCCCACCTCCGCACACAGAGCTCGCCATCAGCTTTCTGGTATTCTACTTTTAAAAAGAAGCAGACAGCGAAATACCGCTGTTCACTTGAGGAAAGGAGCTAACAGAAAGACACACGAGAACAAATGGAAAGAAGAAACGTGTAAGAAACAGACTATAGAGCAAGAAGAAAACTTAGAAGAATGATCACAAGCATCTTCAGAGGGATCAAACTAGGTATTACATCCATAAAGCAAGTACAGAAGCCTATAAAAAGGAACCTTTGAGAAAAACAAAGAGCTTTTTAGCTATAAAAAATTATAATAGAACTGAAAGATTTGAGAGGATGTTTGAGAGTAACAATTGAAGGAATTTCCTAGAAAGCAGATGATAAATTCAAAGAAATGGAAAATAATAGAGAAAATACAAGAAAGTTAAATGACAGCTAGAGATTCCACACTGTAATAGTAAGAGTTGCAGAAAGAGGAAATGGCAGTGCAGGCGGGAGGGATGAAGAAATCGACAAAGGAATTACTGAAGAAATCACTCAGAACTGAGAGACGGGAGTCTCCGTTTATAAGACTGAAAAAATCCATCAGGCGCCAGCCCTGTGGATAAAAGTAGATTCAAATCAAGCACAAAAGTGTGAGGTTTCAGGACATGGAGAGAAAAATGCCTACGAGCCTCTAGAGAAAAAGCAGATTTCGCACAAAGAAACCAGAATTAGAGTGGCGACGCTAGAAGCTAGAAGACAGTAAGGACAGTGGCTTTTGAGCAAAATTATTTTCCAATTTAGAATTCTAAAACAGCCCAACAGTTGAGTAAGAAGGAGGTAGTAGTATCAGACATTTGAAGTTGCAAAACAATCTATCTTCCATACACCCTTCCACAGGGGCTACTAGAGGATGTGCTTCTCCGGGACGAGGGAATAAACCAAGGAAGAAGATGACGTGAGACCCAGGGGACAGGGGGCCCAAGCGAAGGAAGGCCTAGCGGAGGGTGAAGGGGGACCCCAAGACCCCAGCTGTGCAGCAGGCCCAGAGGTCCAGGAGCCCAAGGCTGGAGCAGGTCTGAAGGCTCTGGAGAGACATCTGCACAAAGTTGAAGTCAGAGTACCTTTTCCATTGCAATTTTCCAGCGCCCGAGGAGTGAGTTTGGGATCGGATTAGCAACAAGCCTGTAGACAATGAAGCAGATCAAGAAACAAGGCAATGATTAGCTCAAAGGAAAACAAAAATACTGTGCTGGAAAGAAAAAAGAAATCCTAGTAGAGTCTGTGGCTCAGCTGTGAAGAGCTTTTACGTAGTCTTATCAAGGCAAACTCTGAAAAGTACTTCATTCCTAATTCAAATTGAATTGTATTGTTAAGATGGGAAGGGAAAGGTGGTGGGAAGAGGGAAGGGATGGATGTGGGAGAGATGGGGACATGGCTGGGAGGGAAGATCTTCATTGTGTGCCTTTCCACGTTCGTTGGTGAACCACAGGCGTGGCTTTCCTAAACCAAGACTTCTGTTTAATAAGAATTATTTTATGATTTCATATTTTAATGAAAATTATTTTCAATAACTGACTTCCTTAAAAATGTGCTTTCTTCCCCTCTTTTTTCTCTTCAGAAATTAAAACACAGAGCCCGGGGTTGTTCACCTGATATCAGACAGATAGACCTTGACGTCAACCGCACGTTTAGGGACCATATTATGTTTAGAGACAGATACGGTGTTAAGTAAGTAAACTTTCATGTGATGAAATGTATATGGCATTTATAAAGAGTATTAAAGTCTTTGTTCACTTAAAACATGAATGAGTAGAATGTCTTGTGTGAACTATAATTTTGATGTAGGTCCTAAAGGTTTAAGCTTTTGCAGATTGTTTGGTCCGTGTTGTGTGAAACCTAGTGTCTAGGTTCACTTAAATTTTTTAGCCTTTGACATAGTAGATGCTATTTGGTTGGCAAAGAGTCATTTTATGATCTGGGAATTCTTAAAAATGTAGTGGCTACTTTTATTAAAATCTTAGTGAAGAAATGGGAAGTTGTGTTTGAGGACCGGGTCAGAGACAAATAGATCCCTATGAACTTGACCCCAATGCACAGCTGAAACTAAAACAGATGAGGAGTGAATGTCTGCAAAGAGTATTACAGTTTATGCATGAGCAGTGCAGTTTTGCTGACCTCTGTATTGGCCAAGTTCAACATGAGAAACAGAAACCAGTAAGAGATGTGTATTCAGAGATTTATTGAGAGGAACTGGCTTGGTAGCAGGGGTTGACTAGGCAAGTCCCGTATCTGGAGAACAGGCCACCAGCAGGGACAGCCTGCAACTCCTGAGCATAAGCCGAGCTGTTGTCCACAGGAAGAGCTGCTTCAGGGAGGCCTCACATTTGCTTTTACAACCTTTCACCTGATTGGATCAGGCCCACCAAGACGATCTAGGAACTAGGATCATCTCTGCTACTTAAAGTCAAATCCTGCTTATGGATTTTAATCACATCTACCAAATGCTTTTTTTACAGCCACATGTAGGTTAGCTTTTGAATAATTGGGGGCTGTAGCCTAGCCAGGGTGACACCAATGGTGTACTGACCATTATAGTACATCCTTATCAACTCAGTTTCCAAATACAGGTTAATACAAGGTCGTACTTCACCTAACATGAAATAACTCTTTAGCCTTGGACTGAAACTAGTCTAACCCTTTCCCCACAAGAGGATACAAAGTCCTTGGTGATGTTTACTCTTTTGCTTTGACGCTCTAAAACTTAAACACTGCAATATAAAATTAACTGTTAATAATATGTCTGTCTAATATAGCTAATACGTTAGATGAAAAGGGAAAAGGAAGGAGGAAAACAAATATTTTAAAATACATATGTGTAAACATCCACCAAAATAAGGAAGAAATGCTCACAAAAATTATAATCATCATCTCTTTTTTTTTTTTAATTTTTTAACAAGATTTTACTTATTTGAGAGAGAGAGAAAGAGGGCAGGAGAGAGAGCGAGCAGGAGGGGAGGAGTAGAGGGAGAAGGAGAAGCAGGCTTCCTGCTGAGCAGGGAGCCTGGTGTGGGGCTTGATCCCAAGACCCTGGGATCATGACCTGAGCCAAAGTTGGGACGCTTAATGAGCTGAGCCACCCGGGTGCCCCTATAATCATTTCTGTGGCTGGGTATGTAGTTATGACTGATTTCCACCACCCATTTCATATTCCCTTTGTCTTCCACAGGCACCTGGTCATGATACTATACCTGGTGGGGTGACCTACATTTTCATTCGGGACCATCGCAGTCCTGCCTGAATTAGATTGCTATAGTTTTCCATTGACTTTAATCACACTGTGCTAAGAGACACCCCAAGTATTCTCCTGCGTTCTAGGCCTACTCTTCCTTAAATTCAGTGTGTAGTATCAACTCAGTTTGTCCTTCGTTAACAGGCTCATTTGCTCCAGCTGGTACGGTCACCTCCTTCTTTGCTTGTTGATTCGGAGGCACAAGGAACTCCAAGTGGCTGGGTGGCAGTCTTGGCTTCCAGTTCAGTGGAATCATTGTGTCTCCTGATGGAAGTATTTCTCCCTTTGGAACTAGGAGTTCTGGACCAGCAGGGCTTAAGGCTGACGGGATGGGAAGTGAACATTTTGCTAGTGGACCACTAGGGATAATAGTGGATAGAGTCATCCCCGTTTCTGTCCCTTGAATCCTGGACCCCAGCATCCTGGCTGTGGGAGAGAGCACTAGATACTGTGGCTGATGGAGAGCATACATTGCCTCCCAGAGGATGCCGCAGCCCTCGTGCCTAGCCGCCACTGTCACTGAGTCTTCCCAGGGCCTCCACAGTTCTGTCAGGCTGCTTGCTCCCATGGGGATGATTTCAGTGAGGGTGGTTGCAAATTGAAGAGACTGTGAAGCCGTTTATGGTTTTTTGGTATAAATTGTATCAGAATGAATGTCGGGGGTACCTGGGTGGCTCAGTCGTTTAGGCTTCAGTCTGACTCTTGCTTTTGGCTCAGATCATAATCTCAGGGTCATGAGGTCGAGCCCCTCACAGGGCTCCGTGCTGGGCATGGAACCTGCTTGAGATTCTTTCTCTCCCTCTGCTCCTCCACCCCCTTAAAAAAAAAAAAAAAAAAAAAAAAAGAATGTCATCTAAATCTCATATAAATCTAAATAAATCTTAAATTTAGACGGTACAGAGTGTTGCGTACATTTGAGCTTGGGATCATTTCTTTATTACAGTAGTACTTTTGTCTGGATTATCTGTTTTCTGGCAGACTTCATTTTTTTAAGTTTGTAATTTTAAAACTGCGTGAAATAACCAAAATGTATTCAACATGAACTTTGTTTTCTCTAGGCAACAGTCACTGTTCCATGTTCTCGCCGCGTACTCTATTTATAACACGGTAAGTCAGAGCACAGCCACTCAGGTCTTTTTGAGGAGCTGGGAACTCTCTGGGCACCCCTGCCTCTGTGGATCTTTTCAAGGCTTCTCTGGTGACCTTGGGATCTCAAAACAGAGCTGATTTAGAAGCGGGAAAAACCACTGTATACCAGTGAAGCTCTCATTTTCCTCCTTTCTCTGAATTATTCTGTTGTGGTGTTATTTGTTACCTTGTTTTTATTTTACACAGTTGTGAGGAGAGTGAGGAGGGCTAGAAGTTTTAAGAAGTCAGTGGGCAGATAAATTTTTGCTTGACCCTGGCTCACTCTTCATCACCTACCGGGAGTTTGCGTTTCAAGGTCACGCTTTGTTTACTCAGCGAGGGCCAAAGAGGAGACCTTGTGTACCTACTTGCTAACCCTCGGAGTAGGCTAAAAGTAAACGTTCTGATAATAGAACATATTGTCCTTAACATACCTATCATTCAGGGGGAGATGATAATTTGGGGAGAGACCAGTTAGTGTTGAACCTAATGCAGGTGTTAAATGCTTATTGAGTAGGTTCTATGCAGGACAACCTTGAACCTTGGGTGTGTAATTTCTATTAAAACCTCTAAGTTATAAGAAATTTCAAATTAGGGCAAGTTAAAAAAGAGTTATTAAAGGGCTTTTCATAGAAAAGAAGCAATAGTTGGGCGTCATGGGACTTGGAGCTGGAAAGTGAGAAGCCTTGGCTGAGAAAGTAGTACTACACACTCTGTAGCTCTTCTGGGGCCACATGGTAACTGATTATCTCCATAAACTGCTTGTTCCACTGTTTCTCTCTCCAGATTGCTTTCTTTGCCTACTTTTCGGTTTCCCATGGCTGAAATTGCACCCACAGACTCAACATGACCATTCTGTTTAAATGCCATCTCACCATCTGATTATAGCTGTCCTGGAGAGAGTATGTGGTTAGCAGTGCCCAATTAACTGTTCTCCTGGGGTCAAGTGACCTCTCCTGCTCCATCAGCTTTGGTTCATATGGCACAAACAAGAAACTGAGGCCACATTACAGGCAGGGACTATGGGGAGAGTAGGCAGTTCTCAGAGAAGGGACATGGACTGGCTGGGTATCCCAAAATGTGTCTCTCTAAGGGCTGGGAAATCAGAGGTGACAAGACAGCAACTTGGGAGCTGTAGCAGGAGAGAAACTTGGCAGCATTTGAACAAAGAGGGGGAATACTGAACTGGGAATAATATACACAAAGGAAAAATAAACTATTCATCCTCTTTACAGAAGGTATAATGGTATCGAATAGGGGACAACAAAAATACATGTAGCTTGACACTTGGTCCACAGTTCTACATTTATTTTTGATGTATAGCTCAACGAGATGTAGCTCAATGTTGTAGGAACTGTAGTCTTTATCCGTAGACTTGTCCATTATTTAATTGTTCAGGCATTTTCTGGCTGTTTGGGTGGGCAGGTTTTTCATGTGTGTATGCATGTGATTGGATCTTAAAATCCCCAGTTTCTTTGTTCTCATTTATCTTCAGGAAGTTGGATACTGTCAGGGGATGAGCCAGATCACAGCTTTGCTCCTTATGTATATGAACGAAGAAGATGCCTTCTGGGCCCTGGTCAAACTATTCTCGGGCCCCAAACATGCCATGCATGGTAAGAAAGCCCTGGAGTTTACCAAAAGCAGTAAACAAGGAAGGGAGAAAAAGGTTATTAAAGCAGAATCAAGCTTTGGAAGATGCGTGGTCGGGTAAAGCACAGAACGTGATGTCTGGGGCCGTTCAGTCAGTGTTTGTGAGTCGCTTACTTCCGCCGTTACTGAACTTGGCTGCACTTTTCTGTTCACATTTATATTCCTTTGTGCTTACCTCAGGGCGCACTGTTGGCATTTTGAAATCCTTCCTTACTTGCCCCCAGTCAAAAGCAACTAATGTAGGTTTGGAGGAATTTAGGAAAGCTCTGTTACCTGGAGAAATAAAAGATGCTGTTGACTAAGACTTTTAGACTGTCATGCAGTGATCATTTCAGTGAAATGCATGTTTGGGTTCTTCTAGCCATAAAATTGATTCCATTTTACGATAAAATGCTGCTGCTAACGTGTCGTGGGTTCTTCACTATTTAATATCTCAGAACTTGCATGAGTTTTTGGTTTTCAAGTTAGATGGTTTTTAATAACCTTTCCCTTCCTTCTGCCAAGCTTATACCAGAAGCTTTAAAGTTTGGATTGCATCTTCCTCGGGAAATAAAAGTGGCATTTGCCCATTTAGTGCAAAGTTATTTTCCCGGTGCCATCCATGTGATAATACCAAGTTAAAAACAAACTTTTAACACGAATCGCTTGAAGAATGGATCATCTAAGTTCCATTTGTAAGTGAGCCTTAGGTCGCGAGGAGCCTGCCACGTGTTTATAGTGATATTTTAACATTTTCAAAATTATGACTAGTTTATTAATTTCCACATTCTTACCATGTGGTTTTTGTGGTGGTATTGTGTGTGTGTGTGTGCTTGTGTGTGTGTGCGCGTGCTCACACATGCATTTCGCCATCTCCCTCACTTTTCCTTGTGAATATTTTTTAAATGAATACCGCTACTGATAACTGTTTCTGGACATTTTGCATCCCATCAAGAGACTCCAAAGGTAAGACGCATGGTATCGAACTGCCATCCGACAGTATCATTTGAAAAGGCATCTTGAAGAAAAATAACTCCCCCTCATCCACCTTTATTTTGCTTTACCATGGAATGAATGGTGCTGTGGTCTGTGTGGGAAGTGCAGAGGGATGTTGCAGTTTCAGTAGTGTGTAATGACGTGGAAACTGCCCAAGTCTAGGAACGTCATTTCTTTTGAACACACCTGATAGCTTATGTTCGGCATTGGTCACCAGTCTAATCTAGAAATTAACGGTGATTTTCCTATCCTAATATTTGCATTCACGGGTGCAGCTTAGGTGACTATTTTGGTGATGTTTGTGTTTAGAGATGTATGTTTGTAGGACTGCCCATGGAGTTTTCTCACCGAGGCTTGCCTCAGTTCTTTGCATCCTTTACATGAGAGTGATGTCACTTATAAATGTACAGAATAAAGTGAGGGCTGAAGAAAATGAGATTTTAAAATATCAAGCCTGGGATATCGCTAACAAGTGAAGTAATGTTAGCTCTCCTTGAGCTAGTATTTATTACTGAGGGCATTGCCTTTTTCACAATGAGACTTTTTCTTGAAATCCTTCTAATTCCCATTCCTATCAAACTGACCATGAAAGTGGCACAGATAGATACGTACGTGCATATTTTTTTATGACATCAGAAAATGTCACTATGGGAGAAATAGAATCTCTCTCTGGAAATTTTTACACATAAAGGATGTTTCTTGGGTTCTTGGAAGAACACAGTTTCACTGTTTAGGAAGCAGATGTCCTGTGGGGAACAAAAATGGGATTCCCAGATCAAATCAATCTGGCAGAAGGAGTGAATCAAGCAAACCAACCAAGTTTCTTTAGAAAGCACGTTAGAAAGATTGAGAAGCCCTTACGTGTCATGAACATACTGGAAGGGTTTGTGGAACGCACAGTACTTCCCTAGATGCTTTTTAAAAAACACAGGACAGCTCTTAACATCTGTCAAAGCTACATAAAACCCAGGGTGAAGATAACTAATGTGGAGAAATGATCAATCTGTTGAGTGTATGACCTTTTTAATGGATCGTGTAGACTCTCTCAAAGGAAACTCGTAAGAAAGAATAGACGTAAAGGTCCATGAATTAGAAACACAAAATCGGTACTAACTTAACCATTTACAATTAGTTACTTCCTAGAGATCTTAGAGATTCTGTTGTATAAGGAGATGGGATAAACTCCAGTTTCTGATATAACATCGATCATTAGTGTCATTATGTCTTAGCTGAATATCACAGAAGGGATTAAAAAGTGATAAAAACTTTGGAGATATGATACTAATGAAGCTTTTAGAGTAAACCTGAAAAAAAAGCAGTAAAATATTTGTTACATAGCGTATTGACAATAAAACAAAATAAGTCCTCAAGGTTAGAATAACCTATAAAAAATTTTGCACATTTAAGATATGCTTTAAGATACTTGAAGAGAACAGACAGTCCTGATAAATGGCTTCAGTTTTCATTTTTTTTCTTGGTTTCTAAGTTTTCCTTTTGATTCAGAAATAGTCTGTTCTCTTTTATATCTTTATAAGGTTGAAGGAGATCTTTAGCAAATAAGTACTAGATTGCAAATTTTATTACCCAGAGCTCACACACAATCATTTCCTTGGTGGGGAGGGCAAGTATCAGTAACTACTAGATTTTTGCTGTTACTAACAGTTAAAAATGAAAGAAATGTGTTGCGTTTTGAAAGAGGGGTTTTTGTTACTATTTATGAAATACTGTTTTTATGTTTGTATTCTAGGCTTTTTTGTTCAAGGTTTTCCTAAACTCTTGAGGTTTCAAGAACATCATGAAAAAATACTGAATAAATTTCTATCCAAGCTTAAGCAACACTTGGTAGGTAGATGGGACATCGACTTATACCCACTTACATCAAGAACAAAGCTAGAAGAATTGAGTGCAGCCTTTGGTCCCAATTACTTTATTGATTTGCAGTGTTATCCATTTCATTTACTATGCAGTTGTAATTCCCAGGTGTTTGAAGAGCATGAGATTTGAGGAATTTTGTATTGATGAACCATCACAGCCCTCACTCATAAAATCAAACCATTTCTTTGCAGATGATTTATACAAATGGTGCAGCTTTTAAAGACATATGATTTCTCAGTAATTTTGGAGGCCGTTTTATTGCACCAAAAATACTTTAAGGGTCATACAGACTCGTCCTTAGTGAACCATACATGTGCTCTACTATAAAACATGATAATTTAGTGAAGCACAGATGCTTCACGTAAAATATATTACAGAGAATCAAAATGTTGTATTACCATCCTGCAGGAGAAGGATTTATTATTAAGGTGATTTCCAAAAGTGAGATTGAGGGAGAAAGAGAGGGAGGGAGGAGAAAAAACTAGAAATACTCCAGCATGTAAAAGATTCTGAGATGAAACGGTTTTGTGCTTAGCTTTGACAGCTGCCTCCAACAGCTTTCCTAACTTTTAGTATTAGATTGTTATGTTTTGTTTGCTGCAATCGAGAAATTTGAAGCCTTTGTTTTTTTCAGGATTCTCAAGAAATCTACACAAGTTTTTACACAATGAAATGGTTTTTTCAATGTTTCCTTGATCGTGTGAGTATTTCTTTACAAAACCCAATCATAAAATTATAAATACCAGACAAGAGTGAGCTGTTAATCTTATCTTGTTTTGTTTTTAATTATAGACTCCCTTTACACTAAACCTCAGAATATGGGATATCTACATCTTTGAAGGAGAACGAGTTCTTACCGCTATGTCTTACACAATCTTAAAATTACACAAAAGTAAGAAAATGTTTAAGTATAAAGATTTCACCAAGGTCAAGGCTTGATTTAACTCTGATTTCTCATTCCTCACCCAACTTCAGATTCATTTTCTTTTAGTGGTGAATTTAAAAAAATTCTTGAAAGTGAAGAAATCATGTCCAGTTGGTAATCAGCTTCCATCGGTCCTTTCTCCTGGCTAGAAGCTCATTCATTATATTGCAGAGGTCTTTGATTTTTTTTTTTTTTCCTATTTCAGTTTAATTTTCCCACTTCAGCAGTAGAATGCAATGTGTTGGTTTCACTAATAATATTATACCTACTAAGTATTTGTTTCCATACTCTTAATACTGCTTTTCATCAGTCTCAATCTCTGGTTTGTAATCAGAGAACTGAGAGACCAAAGGAACCAGGCCCTTAGTTAAAAAGTCTAGTGGAGACATTTTCCCATCATTGTTTCCTCCATCTAGGCAAAAAGCACCCAGCCCTAAGCTGTAGACCAAAGGGGGCCTACACCTCCTGCTTGTCTCTCTGCCTGACTGCATGGTGGCCTCTGGGGCAAGTACAGTCACTTGTTGCCTAAATGCAATGGTCAGTTGCAACATTTCAAGGGCCCTGTACATTGGGCCTGCAGTGCCTTACTTTAAAAATCAAGAAATGAGAGTTTTCTTCTTGAATGTGAAGAACCTTACTCATCTTAAAGTCTCAGCTCAACTGAACTGTCTTTAAAATTACAACTCCTCCTAGTACCTCCTCTTGTAACTCTGCAGAGAAGAGAATCATCGAAAGCTTTAGAACTTCAAGGAGCACTTGGAGTCCACGTCTTACAATGTGGTTTCACATTCATTGATTATTCTCCTCCCTTAGGTTATTCTTGAATGATTCTTCTGTTCAGCTGCCCAACTGAAATTATAAGCTAATTGAGTACTTGGGATCACGTTTTTGTGTGTATTTTCTTTCCCTGCTGTGCTTGACGTTGTTCTAAGTACATGTTTGGTATCTTAATATATAACTGTTTGATTGCTTACTTGAAAAGCAGGCCTTTGGATTATCCAAACTTTAGAGAGAAATGAAAACTTCCTTTAAAATCAAGTTTGTATTGCTTATTCAGAAAGATAAGGATTCAGAAGTGCTGTGGTTCATTCCTCTTACACCCACTCCTCACTCCTCCAGCGCACAAACCACAGCACTGGGACAGCTGTCTCCCAAGGCTCATGGTCTGTCGGAAAACCACAGTCAACCTCTGTCTCTCCCCCCCACTGACCTCACCACCTCCTCCTCTTCTCTTCCCTCTCCTTCTGGATTACAAACTGACCAAGATGTGGAACAAAAGTATACTTTTTTATTAAGATATATGCATATTCGTTTAATGTTCACTAAACAGCGAGAAAGTGGAAGCATGATGTATTTCTCCATAGGTCTGTTCTCCATCTGAAATATTTGTGAGTCTTGATTAATTTTGGCAACTGGAACGTTTCTTCACCCTTTGCAAATAAACTTAAAGCCTAATAGCTACTTTATATCCCATCATATCATCAGACTAAATAATGTCATTTCTTTTCCTTTGGAAGACAAAATCTCAAGGACTTATTTACATGAACTTTCATCACCACTATATGAAGCTTCATAAACTTTCTGGGCACCTTAACCAAGAGTTTAGCTAAAGTTCCTAAGATTTTGTTCTTTATTTTTTTTCCTGATTGTTTTATCAACATTTAGAAACACTGTTATAGCAGGTTTATCACACACTACTAGTTTTAAATAGTAAAAAAAAAATTAGTAATAACCTAAATGTCCAGTATTAGAAAACTGATTAAGCGAATTATAGTACATTATGGTATATCCGATGGACTCAAAGTATAGTCAGTTTTTTAAATTGATATGTGTCCACACACATCTGCTTATAGGACAGTGGCTAGTGGGGTCATAGCTGATTTTTGCTTTCTACTTTGTATCTGTAATCTGAGTTTTTTTATTCTTTAATTTTTTTAAATTTTCTTTTTTACTTTTTAAAAATTTTATTTAGTTATTTGACAGAGAGATAGAGAGCACAAGTAGGCAGAGTGACAGGCAGAGGGAGAGAGAGAAGCAGGCTCTCACCTGAGCAGAGAGCCCGATGCGGGGCTGGATCCCAGGACCCTGGGATCATGACCTGAGCCAAAGGCCGACACTTAACTGACTGAGCCACTCAGGCAAGGCACCATAATCTGAGTTTTTTAAAATAAAACTAATTTCATAAGTAGAAATACAAATAAGGTTAGTAATCCAAATTTTTTAGAAATTCTGAAACTGTAATTAGAAAGACTTGAAATAGGTGTGCCTATGGGAGGTGGAGCTCCATGACAATAAAACAGAAAGCCCTCATGTCAACCTGGGTGGCCCGTGTCTCTAAGAAGTACTTGCTCTAGGTTAATATTAATGTCTAAGGTGTGACGTTCTTAAACAGACGCATAAGAAGGTACTTAGCAGTAATCACTTCTCCCTGTCTTCCCGAAGAACAGATGTGACTGCTTGAGTATCCTAAAATACTTTTATCTTTCTGAGTGTCAGTGATGGTCACAGTGCTATGTGTAAGTTGTATGCTGCGCCCCTTTTAAAAAATACTGCACCAGAATAGAATATGTTACCTTCTCAATCTGAGTAACTGTTAACCCAGCATTTGTATTTCTCTGATTTGTTCTTAGAACATCTAATGAAATTGTCTATGGAAGAACTTGTAGAATTTCTTCAGGAGACGCTGGCAAAGGATTTTTTCTTCGAAGATGACTTTGTAATAGAGCAACTTCAGATTTCTATGGTGGAACTAAAGCGTGCAAAATTAGACCTTCCAGAACCTGGTAAGAAATGCTCAAACACTTTCTATCTAAGTCGTAATTAAAGTTGGGAAACAGTGCAGTGAACCCAGGTCATTTCTGTTTCTGAACAGAAGCATTATGTGTATTTGTAATGGCAAGCTGTTTATGGCTTTGTGCTTATTTTAAGAAAAAGCAAATAAATGCATTAATGAAATCTGCCTCTCCTAATAGCATAACTGTACTATGCCTGCTTAAATTTCGAAGGTTTGGATGGCAAATAATACTGATCAAGAGAAGTAATCGTGGTGCTCTAAATGAGCATAAACAGCAACCTTTACTTTCAGCCTCTCAATCTGTAAAACCATAAGGAATAGCAGAGAAAATAAAAGATAACGTTTTATAGAAGAGGACCCGGATACTGACATGCTTCTCTCTGAAGCTAGAGACCCAGCAGATGGCGCTGCTGACACTGGCGTCCAGGCCTTCTGACTGGGACCCAGGGCTCTTGGCAGGATGTTGCCATGTAGATAATATTTTATTTGCTTATTTCAAAACCTCTTCCAGCACCTCCTAGTAGATTTTCTATGAGGTGCTGGGCAAGAAGTTCAGCAACTGAAGAGAAAGACATGCTTCTTGTCTCAAGGTGTACACAGGGGAGACGGTTTCTGTGACTGATAGCAAATGAAGTCTAAGTAAACAGGACAAATGGGGAGGGATCAAAGGAGGGGTCAGAGGAAAGGGGAGAGAAAGAAAATGTGGAAAGATCACAGCAGGAATAACTCAAAGTTTTGGCGAGATGTTATTTGACAAGAAATGGTTTTGTGAGAAAGAGTCCTTTTTCGCCCATTTCTTTTCTTGTCTTTGTTCCAAGGCCATCCAGCTGTTACGTTCTCAGGTAGAGTTGGAGGTAGCATTTCCCAGTCAGTCTGGCCCATATTTTGATGTCTTCTTAGAGGTATCTGTGCACAATGAGCAGACGTACGTTCATGGGAAGCACATCTTTTCCCTTTTGTAAAAACCAAGATGCTCTGCTTTTAGGTACTATCATTTTGAGGGCTCTAATCAGTGTTTCTCCCAAGTTCATTCTGGGTCATCAAGAACCACTAGAAAAACAAACCGTCACAGCAGTGGTTGCTGGTGGTCAGAGCCTTGGCAAGCATCACGTTTGCTAAGTGAGGACACCGCTCTCGTGCTCAGTGCGATAACGTCCGTTCCCCGTTGATTCTATACTGTAGCAGGGAACACCCGGGGGACAGCAGTGGACTAAGTGTGTTAACATTAGGTCCAAGATATCTTGCCTTTTTTTCTAAAAAAGTCAAGACACGCTTTAGTAAAAGGCATACAGAGAGAAAAAATATATATAGTAGCACTATTCAAGCATGAGAATAAAATATTGCAGAATAGGATAGTTCAGCATCCAAGTAGCAGATATTACTTATTGAATGCTTAGCCTGGGCCACAGGCTACATGCACTATCTCATTTAATCCCTAAAAATAGCTCTGAAAACGTACTCACCCACCTTTTACACGTGAACAAACTTAGTAGTCGTAGTTTGTAAGATCTTTTTACTAGGAGGTGACAGACTAGGGATTGAGGGGGAGGTGCGGATAAAGGGAGAGGGAAAGATAAATGACACCAGGCCCATCGGCTAAAGCTTGTCCTGATCTTACTGATAAAGGGCAAAGCGGTGAGGCAGCTCTGCACTTTTTCTGGGACAATAATCTGTCTCTCCTCTGTATCTCTACTTCTACGACGTTGACTGGGCTTTGCGCTCTGCAGCCTGGCCAGTGGTATCCTCTTTAAATTACTGCAAGATGTCCGTGGAACAGTAAGGTCATTAAATGGTCATTGTAGTAAGACATTTTAACCTCCCATCATCTTAAAAGCACACATAAGCATCTTATGTCTTTGTGGCTCTTGATGGGCTGCCTCAGTTTGCACTTGGTTTTCCCAGCCCCGCACAGCACATGGTATTTTGAATTGTTCATTTTTTTTTTTCCCGTTGGATCAAGTTTCCCATTGTTTTGATTTGCATTTCTTCAATTTTGATTGAGTGTCTTTTATTTCTATTGGGCATTTTATTTCTCTCTCTCTAAACTGTTCATCTTCTGCCCATTTTTCTCCTGCTGTATCCACGCACATTCTTCCTAAGTAAAGGAAATTAATTGGCTAGTTTATTATATGTGTTATAGATACTTTTCATGTAGAATTTTAAAAAATTTAATCAGTCTTTCCCTTTATGACATCTCACTTCTGTGTCCTAGGTAAAGAATTTTCCACATGCTGAATGAATGATTTTTGATTACCCACATTTTCTTTTGCAACTTCTATGTTTTTGTTTTTTTATGCTTAAGTCCTTAGCCCATCTTGAATTACTTTTGGTTTAAGGGAAGAGTTTTAAGGGTGTGTTTTTAATTTCCAGGAATTTACGAATTTTCCAGTTTTACTTCTGTTGACTGACCTCTAACTTTATCCTGTCATGCTCAGAGAAGGTACTTTGTAGAAAATCTGTCTCTTAAAATCTGTTGAAACTCTGTTTGTGATGTAACATGTAACAGAAAATGTTTCACGTGCACTTGAGCAGAATGTGTATGCTGGGGTGCCTCGGTGGCTCAGTCGGTTAAGCATCTGCCTTTGGCTCAGGTCTGGGCTCCCTGTTCAACAGGGAGTCTCCTTCTCTCTCTGCCTACTCCTCCCCCTGCTTGTACTCTCTCCTCTCTCTCTCTCTGACAAATAAATAAATAAAATCTTAAAAAAAAAAAAAGTGTGTATGCTGTAGTTGTTGGGTAGGGAGTTCTGTAATTGTCTGTTAGATCTGGTTGGTTTATTGTGTTGTTTACATCCTCTGTGTCCTCATGTTCCTTCCACCTGGTTGTTCTGTCCCTTGCTGTGGGCCAGTCGCTGAAGTTATCAGCTCTTATTGTAGAACTATTTCTCCCTTCGCTTCTGTCAGTTTGTGTGGCATATATTTTGATAGTCTATTATTAGGTGCATACATGTTTGCCATTATTATATCTGCTTCCTGTATTGAACATTTTATTAAGATATAATGTCCCTTTTTTGTCTCTTATAACCTTTTTTAGATGTATTTTGTCTATTTTGTCTGCTGTAGTATAGCTACCCCTACTCCCTTTTGTTACTTTTTGCTTGGAATGTTTTTTCCCATCCTTTCACTTTCAGTGTGTGGGTGACTTTTGATCTAAAGAGAGTCTCCCGAAGGTAACATAGAGTTGGATCATGTGTCTTTATCCATTCTGCCAATCTCTGTCTTTTGATTTAAGAGTTTAAACCATTTACTTTTAAAGTAATTACTGACAGGGAAGGACTTCTGTCATTTTGGTATTTATTTTCTATATACTTTATAGAATTTTGTCTCTTATTTCCTGGATTACTATCTTACTTTCCATTTTGGTTGATTGCTTTATTGTGAAATGTTGAAATTACTTATTTTCTTCTGTGTATATTCTATAGCTATTTGTGGTGGGGGGAGGTTAAAGGAGTTATGGTTAGCATCCTAAAGTTATAACTCTCTAATTTCAATTTGGATTAACTTCAGTAACATACAAGAACTCTGCTCCTTTACAGCTCCATTCCCCAACCCTTTCAGTTGTTGATGTTTCCACATGACATTTTTATACCTTCTGTGCCTGAAACCTTAAAATAATAATAATTTTATAATTTTAAGTTTTATTTTTTTATTATTAACATATAATGTATTATTTGTTTCAGGGGTACAGGTCTGTGATTATCAGTCTTACACAGCACTCACCACAACACATACCCTCCCCAGTGTCCATTACCCAGCCACCCCATCCCTCGCAGCCCCATCCAGTCCAGCAATAATACTTTTAAATGCATTAGTCTCTTAAATTATGGAGAAAACAAAATGTGGAGTTACAAACTGAAGTTACAACAATACTAGCTTTTACAAATAATTGTTTTTTTAAAACTATTATTCTCTTAAATCATGTAGACAAACAAAGTGGAGTTACAAATCATTGTATAGTAATAATAGCTTTTATAATTCCCCGTGTTTTTACCTGTATTGCTATCTTTCTTTTTTTAATTTCTTTTTTTAATTTAAATTCAACATATAATACATCATTAGTTTTTGATGTAATGTTCAATAATTCATGAGTTAGGGGCGCCTGGGTGGCTCAGTGGATTAAGCCGCTGCCTTTGGCTCAGGTCATGATCTCAGGGTCCTGAGATTGAGCCCTGCATCGGGCTCTCTGCTCTGCAGGGACCTGCTTCCTCCTCTCTCTCTGCCTGACTCTCTGCCTACTTGTGAACTCTCTTTCTCTGTCAAATAAATAAATAAAATTTAAAAAAATAATAATTCATGAATTGCATGTAACAACTAGTGCTCATCACATCTTTATTTCTTTTTATGCCTTTGAATTTCTGAGTAATGTTCTTTCATTTAACACTGCACCCTTAAACATTTCTTTCAAGGCAGGTGTAGTGGTAACAGACTCCTTCCACTTTTGTTTATCTGGGATTGTCTAAATTTTTCCCTCACTATTAAAAGACAGTTGTAAGGGGCACCTGGGTGGTCAGTTAAGTGTCAGCCTTCGGCTCAGGTCATGATCCCAGGGTCCTGGGATCGAGCCTCACATCAGGCTCTTTGCTCAGCAGGGAGCCTCCTCCTCCTCTCTCTCTCTCTGCCTGCCTCTTTGCCTACTTGTGATCTGTCTGTCAAATAAATAAAAATCTTTTAAAAATAAATAAATAAATAAATAAATACAGTTGTAATAGATATAGAATTCTTGGTTGATAGTTTTTTCTTTTTAATGCTTTGAATATGTTGGCTGACTGCCTTCTGGCCCCCAAAGTTTCTGATGAGAAATCTGCTTATAACCTTATGAGGATACCTTGTATATGATAGTTGCTTCTCTCTTACTGCTTTCAAGATTCTGTCTTTTCAAAGTTTAAATGTGATGTGTCTCAGTGTGGGTTTCTTTGAGTTCATTTTACTTGGAAATCTTTAAGCTTCTTGGATATTTATATCCATGTCCTTAATTAAATTTGGGAAGTTTTC